GGTCTAGGATAGCTCCTTTTGTAATATTTCTTTTTAGCATTTACTTTATTTAGTACTTTACTTTGTCAAGTACTTTATTCAGTAATATAGCTTTGCTTAGTTCAAGTCCTGTCTTGCTATTGTATATCATTAGTGAGCCTAGATGCTTGTTCTCTGGCATTTGTATTATTATTATCTTAGTGTTTAGTTCGTTCATCGTTAGTACTTGTTCTACCATCTGGTTAGGGTGTTTCGATCTTATTTCATCGGAGCTCGGATCGAAACAACAAGTTTATAGATTAAGCGTGGTGCTTAGGCTATATCTTGCCTGTAGGTACGGCTAGATCCCCGGATAGATCGTGGTAGTTGGCAGGTGGTGACAACCCTATCCTCCCTCTGTATTCCATCACGTTGGTTCTAATTGTTAAAACGTAGGGCTCGTAGTGCTCTGTGCCTGATTGAATTTAGGGCAAGTACGCCCCTCGTACTAAGGACGTTCTCACTATCATCATTAAGTTACTTTTGCTACTTTAAGATTACATACTCTACTTCTTACACTTAGCTACACTACACTTCTAGTTACCTTTGTCTGTGTGATCAAAATTCTTTTTTATCTTTTCCATCCATCATCCATACTACCCTCATCACCCTGTGTTGCTAGACATACTTACTTAGTCTACCTAACCACAGTTCCCAACACGTCCCCCCGCCTTCCTTTGGAAAAATATAAATTCAACACTTGGTTCTCACCAAGCGAAGTGCTACACGATAGTTCTGTGCGCTTGCGGAATCCCCTATCCTATATACACACATGCGAACCGTCAACAACTAGCAGGTGTTCAAACACAAGTACTAAAAAGTTTTAGGAGATAGCCTAATTTTATCAATATATAGAGGCAGACACAAGATTTATCTGTCTCCTAAAATACCTAAGGGTTTCTGGAGACAGTCATTTTATTTACGGAGACTGTCACAAATTGTCCGTCTCTCCAAATGAATATATGGAGGCGATCATTTTATTTACAAAGACACTCAAAAGTTGTCTGTCTCTGAAAATTGATTTATGGAGGCGGGTCTCTTAAGAAGTCCACCTCAGAAAGTAGAGCATATTTTTGGAGATGAGCCTAACCATTGATAATAGGGACAATACATCCAAAGTGATGGTCCTTTGCTGGCGGACACCCACTTTGGAGCATTTTGCCAGAAGACACTCTGGTTCGGTGAAATTAGGCCATAGGACACCGTGGACCGGTTGCAGCCGGTTGAGGAGAGAGAACAGTGGTGAAATGACATTCTTGCCCACCATGAGGCTGACGCATGGGCCTGGTCAGCTGGCGGGCTGACCAGCACTATGCTCGTGCACCCATGCACCGATCGGTGGACTAGTGCTCTCTGTCTCTAGGGTCTACGTGGACTGAAGCCACAAAAGAAAGGGAAGAGAGAGTGGAGTCCATGACAGGTGAACCTATGGACGAGGTGGCTTGCTCCTATTGGTTGCCTTGACGTGGCCATGTGCCTAGGCGGATGGCCTTGGATGCCGCAGCCTCGGTCTTCCTGTCCGTCCTCCCCATTGGCCTGGTCACGAGAGAGACAGAGGCAGAGCGGAGCAGAGGGGCGCTGGGCGGCGATGGGATTTGGCCCCGGCGGCGCGGCTTGCGGCTAGGCGAGAAGAGCAAGGGCGGAGTGGCTCGACGGTGGAGAGCTTTGAGCTTCAGCAACCATGGCCTCAGCTCGAGGTGCTCTGGCGGAGGCGGGGCGCGGCGCTCCCATGCTTGGCCTTTGGCAGCGACCATGATCGGCCTTTTATAGCTAGAGAAGGCCGGCGCTCCCGTGCTCCTCGTGCCTGGGCGCGGCAGTGGCGATGCGGAGCCTACGCGGCGGACGTGGCGGGGGCGTGTGCGTGCTCGGCTGCGGCCTAGGCCAAGCCGAGGAGGCACTTGGGCTGGGCCTAATGGTGGAGAGGGAGGTGTACACCTCATGCCCCGGAGCGCGTCCGTGCACCGCCATGCGCGGTTCATGTCCCTGCTACGCAGCGCGTCGCCGCGGCTCAAGCTGATCAATGCGCTCATCCCGACGCCAGATCTCAACCCCGGCCCCACCGCCGACGCGACCAGGGGGACGCACGGGGAGGCCGTGCCGCCGATCACCGCCTCGTCCTGCTCGTCCTCGTCCTCCTCCACGTTGTCATCCTCCTCGTCGGCCGCATCGTCGTCGGCGTGTGGGTCCCGGCGTTGGGTGTTCATCAAGGTCAGGGACATGCTCCTCCACCGTAGGGGCAAGAATATCATTTCACCGCTGTTCTCTCTCCTCAACCGGCTTCAACCGGTCCGTGGTGTCCTGTGGCCTAATTTCACTGAACCAGAGTGTCTTCTAGCAAAATGCTCCAAAGTGGGTGTCCGACAGCAAATGACCATCACTTTGAATGTCCAACAGACAATTCTCCCTTGATAATAAGAGCGACTATAGATATATTCTATCTTTTTTCTAAAAACTACCCACTTCTACCATTAATAAAAACAACACATATAATAACCCCCTAAATCTACATATAAAATACCCACCTATATCATTATAAAACATAATCTAAATTACCAACCTAAATTTGTATCTGAACTACCCACCATGCCATTGTGATAGATAAACTAAGCAAACCCTTAATTTTGTATCACATCATTTCTGTCACTTTTAAAATAAACTACAATATCCCCCTCAAATCTAAGTATAAATCAACAACATATGCTAATATATGGAAAATTTTGTAAATAACCACAAATACCACATATATATGTTCCTAAATTACATATTTTTTATTTCGTCCTCGCTTCGTGTAAAAGAGTTAACCCAGAGGTGCTACGTTGGAACGAAACTGCTTATATGGCACAGCTCTGCACGTGAAACGGGCCTGCATACTCGTAGCATCTCTTACAGTTTCATTCTCGCTTCATGTAAAAAGGTTAACCGGAGGTGCTACATTTAAAACAGCAAGGATTATAATTAAGCTGTCCCTCACCCCCCTAAACTTCTAAGGTGATACTAAACTTACCAACCACAATCGCACATGTGCCACTTGGGCCAACTTCACAACAACTACAGGCTATTAATGGGTCAGGATGTTACATTAATACTATAAATAACTAATTTAAAGTAAGCATGCATGTTGAGCATGCATTTTATTTTAAGTGAAACATTATGACGCACACACACATTGATGGTACCATTTTAAGCACTATATAAATAACTATAAATGACGCCAATATATGTTTTAAAATTATCCACTTCTATTATTATTAAAACATAAAAACTAACTTAAAATAATTATAAATTTCATGCGTATATTGTAAATCAAATATCTTGACATATCTATCTACATTGATGGAGTACTGTAAGCACTATGTTTTTCTTAGAAAAAAAACTAACATGACACATATAATTCTTGGATAAGAAAATTCAACTTTTTAACAAAATAGAGGAGTTAGTGCATACCAAAGGTGTCCATGACCTCATTGGTCTGATATTCTTTTCAAGTAAATAGTGAATATTAGGTTTAAATATCAATATCCTTTTGAGGTTTGTATGGTTGGCTCTCCTAGATCTTATTTCAAGCTTTACCAACAATCTTGAATGCCGTGGTGAGTGTTTTACTGATTGTGTTATAGTAGTACTTAAGAGTGCAATCTACAACCTAAGGTCCTTACTTTTAATAAATACAAAATGAAAGTTTTAAATAAAATTATAATATGAACAAGAGTTTCGACTTAATTTTGGATAATATTTGTAGCAAACTAATAAGATGAAAATTTAAATGTAAAAAATCTAGATTTATGATGACATGAGAGATGGGTTGCAATGACAAGCACTATAATTTAACCTAATGTTTCCGTTAAATGCATATTCTAGACACGTGAAGGCATTGTGAAGAGGGAGAATATAGCTATGGTTAAGGATTAAAAAAACATAGAGTACTCGCTCTCCCCACCATGAAAACATGTTGTTTAGAACAAGATTTGGTCAAAACTTAAAAACTAAAACATCAATAGCTTTTAAATTATTCAGTTTGGAAATATGTAAGATATATTTGTATATTGGTAATGAAACATATATGTGAAATCTCATAAATTTCACATTTTAGAAGGTATTACTGACCAAATATATATATGTGCATCAAATACCATCCAAGGTCAATGTGACAAATACTTTTTACTAAAGTCAGTAACTGATAAGTTTTATGATAGCCAAATAGATACCATGTATCTTTTTAGATAATGAGATACCATGTATCTATATGCATATTATGTTAAAACAAACAAAGGATAAACTATTTTTATTAGTTGTTAGCATTAAACATGAACTTATAACACTTATACATGTCTCCTACCATACGTAGTAGTTGATAAGTTTATCACCACTGGATAAAAATTGCAGAGATATATACACATATTGCATTGGAAAATGAACAAAAAGATAGCACAAAGATAACTACTATTTATTTGTTGAGGTATTAAACATGATATAATTATATTTCTAAGATTCTATTTCTAACCCGTGCAGAAGCACAGGTTGATGGTGGGCTAGTACAATGGTCTATGAAAAAAAAAACTACTTGCAGCCATACAAAAACCAAAATGCAGAAATACGGAGGAGGTGAACCTTGAATGTCTATATCGTGCTAGAAAAAAAAATCCACATATAGTTATGCACTTTCAAACACCCAAATGCATAACAACAACTTGTACTATGTACCGATTAAAATTGTTGTGTAGTCTTGCTGGGGTTTTGTTTCCCAAAGATGCTGTCACAAAAGAACAAAGGTAGCGATCGATCATGTGGCCATGCTTACATAAGGGCCAAATATCAGAGAGGCAGCAGTGGTCTTCCTAGAAACAATAACCAAGCATGACATGCATCCACATATGATATATCTATTTACTGGGACAAGGAGGTTAAATTAACGGTATTTATTGCATGGCGCAGTGTGCAAGTTTTGGAAGGCCTTGCTGATGGGCCAAAGTACTTGAAAGATCTCACTCCAATGCCCTGATCGACATGGTCAGATCCAAAGTACTCTGCCCAAGAACGCCTTCACCTCCGCCGTTGCTGTCGCTGCTTCGTCTTGTCTTTTCTTTCCGCTGCTCCTGCATGGAAACTGCAGCGGCGGGTGGCGACAGCGAGAGAGAGATCGAGAACTCGCAGCTGGTGGTGTCCATGGAAGACGACGATATTGTCTTTCTCTTCTTGGCCAACACCGAGGAAGGGGACAAGCTGAGTTGTAGGTCCGGCGTCGCATCTTGGGCCTCCACCGGCGACGGCCGCCGCTTGATGAGGCACGCCTCGTCCGGCGGAGCGGCGGAGGCCCTTGTTGGTTCTACGACGTGCTTCGAATTCTGCCGCTGAAATGATCACACATACAATGTGGGGTGTCAGTGATGATCAGCTGAACGGATCTAGGCTAGCTAGAGCGCGGTTTGAACGTCCCATATAAATGAGCACGTACGTACGGTACCTCGAGTTGCAGACCATCGTCGATGACGACTGGATCCGACGATCTTGTTGTGATCTTGGAGCCGCTGCTACCCGGGTAGCCCACGACGACATCTCTACCGCTTCCGCTTCCCCCGTGCCGCCATCTGAACGGAAGACGACGATCTCCGGACACGGTCGGCGACATGGCCAACGGAAGTGGCCGAGAACTGCTCCCGATGCAACTTTCGAACTTTCCATTAGTTCCTATCTCTGCTCTGTGCTCGCCGGCGGCGACAGCAGCAGCGCCGGCGTCAGTGAAAGGCCACCACCGCCGATCGCTCCTCAGCGCTGCGGAAGATGCAAGCGGGTGTGTCTGTGGCGAAGTCGACGGTGGTGTGACGTGATTCCTGGAGACTGTGATCGCCTCTTGCTGATTCGACGACGCCCACTCATGATTTCTGGCCAGAAACGAACAATATAATTTTTTTTGATGGAACGAACAATATAATTAGGGTTTGCTTTGGCTCATATATATACTGTCTTTGTCGGGAGTCAGAGGAGCTCAGTGTAAAGAACTGAATGCATATATACATACCTGAAACTGGAATTTCTGAAGTCGAAATTTTGGGTCGGAGGCGGGCGATGGTGGAGGAGTCCATAGAGCCGTCTCAACTCCGGAGCGCTGCAGTTCCTTGACGCGAAGAAGCTGCCGCGTTCCAGCCTGGAGGAGGAGGAGAGCGCGGCTGCTCTTTGGAAGAAGGACATGTCGTGGAAGCGCCGATCGGCTCTCATGAAATGGAAATCCATTGGGGAATACACTGCACACCGAATCAACAATACATGGATGATCGCTGTTAGTCTTATAGGAGGGGTAGAAATCTATATATGCATGCAGATCGAGAGGATTTTTGTTCTATGAAAACCTGAGGAAACATCTCCCCTCGGGCGACCATCTTGGTCTAGTTTCTTGCTTCTGTACATCTGAAAATAAATTAGTGTGTATCATTATCATCAGAATTCAGAAAGAGTGCTACAATAATATAGGTAGCAACGTTAACACCAAATTGGTTATCTGCTGGTAGATAGCTAGTGTGATCATTCGGCAACGGATTTGTAGTAGATCTACCACACCTGCAGGTGGCTTTTTACATGAGCAATGCTGAGGCCCCTAACATTCATCATCTGAAGCACCAGCTTAGGGGTCGCTCCTGTCAATAAAATTGGAGGATTATATATATTAGTAAAAACATCATTCTCCTCTAATTGAACTGCAATAAATCATGACCTTCTATATATATATATGATCAAGCTAGCTAGTACTTACTCTCTTGCCCACCAAGCCTCTCAACGGCATGGACGAAGGCCATGTGGAGGTCAGGAGTCCACCGGAGCCGGGGTAGCTTCGACCGGTTGTACTGCCGCACCGATGGAACCCTCTGCTCACCGCTCACCTCTGACTTGCTGCCTCCCTTGGCGTCTGCCTTCTTGCTCTCCGAATTGTTGTTGGTACTGCTATTGTTGCTTGAGCTCCCACTCCCACCACCAACATCAGTGGTGCTACCGCCATCGTCGTCGCCCTCCTCATCTTCGTCTTCCTCATCATCGCCAACTTCCCCTTCTTCGCTCTCCGCATCGAAACCCTCGTTGAGGTCTAGCAGCTTGTTGTTATCGATTGATCTCTCCTCGTCATCCTCAAGGATATCAACTAGTACCCCCTTACCCTTGACCTCGTCTCTCATCACTTGCTCTTCTCTAGCTACCATCTTGTATACTAAGCTACCATCGATCAGTCTCTCTCTATTCCGCCATGGCTGGATCTCATCGTCAGAATAGTATGTGCAGGTAGGAGTAGGAGCAGGAAAGGGGAAGGAAGAAGGAGGACAACAATGGTATGAAGAAGGTAGAGAGGGAAGGGGCAACAAGCATAAGCAAGGTAGTGATGTGCGAATAAAATAAGGGAGAGTTGGACACAGGCCTTGTCCTTCTACATTGACTGGTGTTGAACAATGTAGCAAGAAATGATGTCTGCTTTAGTGGACTCCTTCCTTGTGTTTAGTTTGTGCCAATGCAAGGGTCACGCATATATATATACACACACGAGCACGCGTACACACACAGAAAGAGAGAGAGGAAGTCAGAAACAGAGGTTAAACTAAAGTAGATTAATCACAGAAACTTAGTAGCTAAAAGAAAGAGCTTTTAGCAAAGTTCATGGGCTAAATGGTGCGTCCATACTTTACATTGCAGCAGTGAGATCTTTTAGGTTTTGTCTTTAGCTAGGCAGCATATGCATGCACGAGGGAGTGAGCTACTAGGTGCTCGATAGATCATGTGACCCAATCTGCCAATCTGGCTCGATTCCAAAAGCATTTCTCGCTCTGTTTTTTCTTTATTTTTTCGGTTTGGGATCCTGACCGCCTTGTCGTCTGGATCTGAGCTGCCAATCCGTGACAGAAAAACAAAGCGGTAGTGGTTGACCTCTGCCTGCCCCCCGTCCCTCTGAAAGGCTTGTCTGAACAGCTGCTAGCTAAAAGGGACAAATACCTGGGTTCCTCTTGCTCGCTTCATGACATGCATGGCTGTGTATTTATTTCATTCATAATCACATCATCCGATCGATCTACTCGTCTACGTGCCTACAGGCTACAGCTAGCCTTCATTCTAACTGAGGATGCTGCTGACTAGCTAGTATATACTGCTGCTTCCCTGGTTTTCTCTAGCATGTTCATCGGTCCGATCATATATAAACGTGTGTACAGGATACTTATAAAAGAGAATGGAGGTAGTATCCTTTTTTTCTAGGGTATTTGGCTTAATATTTGTTATAATGGTAGAGTTGAGCTTCAATTTTAAAATAATGGTAGAGGTGAATACTAGAGCTAGAAGCATGCATATTTTTCAACTCTGTTATTTTTCTAATGTGGTGAGTAATTTTGTATTTTTTTCTCTCCAATTAATGTGGTAGTTTCTTGATCTTGAGAGTGAAATGTTCTTTTGTTGGGAAAATACCTAAGCTAATAGATCGATTTTTTTCATGATGTAAGTGGTGCATTAATCTTATAAGGGGTGGGTAACTTACATATTGGTACATGGTATTTTTGTAACCACAATAGTGGATAAATTTGCTTTTTATTTATATCAAACTAACATGGTAATTTCTAGATATTGAGGCAAATGTGAAGGCTTTTTGTGTTGACAAAATTCTAAGATAATAGATAGATTTCTAGGTAATGGAGGTGATCATGAATGCTTCTTTTGTTGGACATATACTATGAAAGTAGATTCTTCCCATGAACTGCTTGGATGCATATGAATTTGAAGGGAAAATGCTAAAATAGTACTTTGGAAACAACCCCCCCCCCCTCTCTGTCTTCAATTTTTCAATTTTTTATATGCTGCTTATAACGCACCATTTGAAGTTCTTCAGGATTCATAATTACGATTGGGCATCTTAATTGGGCACGTATCTCAAAGAGAGGACTTTTATGTGACAAAATTCAAAACCAGAATTTAAAAATATTGCACCGTAAAGTCTTTGCAAATCGCCAGCAGACATAAAATCTAAGAACAATCAAAAAATAAAAAGTCAGATAAAAAGGTATGTCGGATACTTGAAAATTCTTGAGAAATGTGCGAGCTAAGCGGTTGCTACCTCGCTAGTGCGGTAAGTTTTCTGTTTCTCTTTCCTCCTGATTGGACAGATGTTCCTCCTCGCTAGTGAGATGGTCAACTGTTGGGGGACGCCTTAGGTGGATGAGGCAAGGCAGATATTGGATAGCAATAATATAGATAGGTCTGAGAGTGGTGTGGGACTTTTTTCTTTGTTTGGATTGTGTCCAAATTAAATATCCCTACAGAAATTTGGCTAGTACTTATTTGCTAATTAAGTTTTTGGTCATACACATTTAGCCGAAAACAAGCAAAGGCACGGGATAGATGTGAAGTGGAGACATAGATTCAGCTACAGCCATTTTGCCTCTATAAGCAAAGAAGCATCACCTTAATCTTGAGCTCGATAAGAAATATACGGTAGGGCATATATATGTTTTCTTATATATATATATATATAATATATGTAGCATAAGAATTCATGACATCAAATCAACCTTTTAAATTTGGTCGTTGACTGTTTATGGTTTGGCAAGTTAGGGGATGCATGCAAGTAAAGGGGTACCTAGAAAGTGGTATGCATCCAAGCCGGCCTCATGAGAGCTTCCGAAAAAGGGATGGTGATCACACACGAATGGACAGAATGTGGTTGCGTTGTCACGGCATTCTTGGGGAGAGCTGCCCTCCATGCGCGTATGTAGGTGAAAAATAAAAAGCCAAGGGAGGCACGCACAGGCACAGGATCGAGGAAAAGGAATTAAGCCACACCCGTTTGTGTGGCAATAACGAGATCATCAATATGCATGGCTAGCTGCACGAGGACGACCATCATGCATGTGAGATAAACCGTGTAAAGTTGCCGTACTACTCTGCTTTCTCTGGTCACATTTGGATCGGAGAGGTGCAGCTAGCTAACAAGTTTAATTGGAGCATAATTTTACATATTCTTTTTTATAAATACACTACAAACAAAATTAGTTGCCATAGTTTCACTTTAGAGATACATCTTTTGATCTATTAGTGCCTGCGAGCAAGTAGAAGACAATTCAAGAAATAAATATAGCTAGCTGTCTACTAGGTCGCAAAGTCGACTAATTGTCGTGTTAGGAATTTTCAAAGGCCATTGTGACCATTTACATACGCATGCGTCACTGATACTGACTTTTCCTTCACATACTCTATATCTAACATTAAGGTATGGAAATTTCTTTTTATTACCCTTCCGTCCCTCGGTTCCTCATCCGTCACTCTCATCTGTCTTCTTCCATCACTTACTTTGACCCTTCTCATTTCACGGTCGTCTCTCGCTCCCACCCCTTTTTACTTTGAATTAGCTTTTTATGTACTAATAGTGGTAGATGTGAGTAATTCAGAAATACATATACATATATAGACTTTATGATTATTCATTCTTTCAAAATAGTGGGCATTGGTCATGTAGTGTGCATTTATGGGATATTTAAGTTTATGCTCGATAATGATAGATTTTAGTAATTTATATAAAACTTTAGGGCTTATTTTCATTTTCTGTATAATGGCACATATCAATAATACCCCCTCAATTCTATATTATAAGTCATTTTGTCTTTTAGGTACATATATAACTTTTTCTATGTATCTAGACAACATATATCCAGGTGAATAGCAAATGCTATGTACCTAAAAAAGGCAAAACAACTTATAATTTGGAAAAGATGGAGTATATGAAAATTCAAGTGTTACTTTATAATTTGGAAAAGAGGGAGGTCATTTAGATGCAGATTTAGGGAATTACGTTGCATTGTTTCTCATAATGGTAGAGGTGCGTATCTTTTTAGAAAGAAAAGGCATGGATCCAATGGCTATTATTGCTAATCATGACTAGAATTACCGATTTGATGATAAAATGTTTATGCTTTTGTGAGAATTTATAGAATTTTTTTTTTTAATGCATTCTGTGATGATTAATATGGCATTCGATCAGTAATAGTAAGATGTTCTAACAAATGTTTATCATCATCACCTCTGAATGTATGGCATGCTCAATTTGGTTGATGCATAACTGGACATTAGTAAATCTACCCATCTAAGGCCTTTTTCGTGACCATGTATCCACCTCAATCCATTTGTGTTGGGGTGAATTAGTGTGGAAAGTTAGTTTAAATTCCACATCAATCCAAAAAATTATCGTTTTCTTTCTTTTAGGCCCCGTTTGGATCATTGGAATTGAATTCATTTTAATAATGATAATTTAGAGACATATTAATTAAGTTAATATGGTTGTATATGGATTATATTTGTATATTATTGTTAGCTATAAAAGAGAGATATTTATTTGTTGCATTTCTACCGAAGGGGAGCGACTTGAAGAGCTTGTTATAAGTTGCAAAGTAGAAATATATAATGATGATTGTAGAATCAATTTCCATCTCATACCCTATGAATTTGAGATAAGCTTATATGTGAATTTTGGAATGTGATGGAATGTCAAATTCCAAGCCAAATAGTCTAATTTATGAAGTAGATTTCAATTCCTCCAAACGAAAGGATGCAAACGTCCCCTTAGAGTATTTAAGCGTTTGTAGTTTAGAGTTTAAGAATTGGGTTTAGAGAATGCTAAATAATCTTTCATAAATTATCGTTTTTTCACATAAGACAACTCTGAAGTACATATTCCATCGGATCTCTTTAGCATGTAATGGTAATGAAATTACATTATTATCAATAGGACGTCTTTGTCCCCGAATCTTGCAGAAGAATCACCGAGGGGACGGTTCCACAGGTGTTAGGTGAAACCGTACGAGTAATTTACTCAGCAAATACCGTGTCGTTGCGTTGGGCAACGTGGAGAATGATTCCGCAAGGACAATCTTAGTGACACCCGAGATCGACTCATTCCAAACCCAATTCTTAATTTTATATTATTTATTATAGTGGTAGTATTACCTGTCAATCTCACGCCAATCACATTGCTCGATAGAAATTTCTGGCCCAGCACCGTTCTACAGATAGATTAATGCACAGCTTCACCTTATCTTCAGAGTAAGCACACAGTTAATCGAAGCTCATATTTACTGTATCAGACAATTGAGCAATATGAAAAGTGTAAACCAATGAGACGTCGTACGTCGTTAGAGAGAAGATAAAATAAAGTTCTTAGATTCAGAAAAAAAAA